CCTTAGGGTGCCGTCGGCCAGACAATGCCGGCTGGCGACCCCCAGGGGGAGAGCCTTCTCTGTGGCAGCTCCTGCCCTCTGGAATGACCTACCCCCCGACCTACGTACAGTTGCGGACCTGCGCCTTTTTCACCGAGCCCTGAAGGCCCATCTATTCCGTGCGGCCGGCCTGGCGTAGTTTGATTATGTTTTAGTGGGGTTTTTTGTATGGGGTGTTTTTAGAACAGGCCCGTTATTTAATTTGATTTTAGAACAGAAACTATTTATTTATTATTGTGGTTTTTAGTATCGCCTGTTCACCGCCCTGAGTCCCGTAAGGGAGATAGGGCGGTATATAAATTTAATAAATAAATAAATAAATAAATAAATCATTTCCTGAGCTGTTTTTCTCTGCAGTGCAGCACATCCCTAAAAGATGCTAATGGCAAGTTAACCAGCTCAGATTTGTGACCTTATTTAGTTGGTTAGAACAAAACCAATTTCATACCAAGGAGTGATTTTTTTTGCTCCTAAGGCAAACAGTCTGCACCAAAATCGTCATTTCTGTGTATATTCCTCATAATTTGCCTGTTTACTCTCTTGCAATCCCTTCATCTCTAATAAATATAAATAAGCATAGAATCTCTTCTTGCTAGTTATGCCAGTGCCAGCGTGATAATTCCAAAGGTCAGGGGAGTGCTGTAAGATTTGGTCTTTTACTCTGCTTCCTTGTGAGTCTAGTTTTGGAAATCTTCCCTGCTGTTTGGGTTCATTTGGCTGTTTGGGTTCATATCCTTCTGATTCTCTAAAGGAAAAAAAAGCTCAAAATTGTAAGCACAATAGTGATTATGTTATTTTTCACTTAGTGATTGATTTGCTTAGCAAGCAAGTTGTGAGTCCCAATTGCAGTTTCTAAATGAGAACTGTAGTAAAAATCTTTCTGCATTGGACCAGTGTACTAAATTTACTACATTCTATTGTGTAATGGAATATTTTTCTATGCATCATAATATAAGGCTTTTTAGGTGCAGTCTTCTACATAAGATACCATGTGCTAAGAAACAGTGGCAAACTCTTGAAGAATAGGGGCTCATTATAATATAGTGGTAGCTTCATTTGTATTTCCTAAAATTGCTGTTGATCTCAGTGGTGTCAGGCTATCATACAGTCATGTTGAAGTAAAATATGACTAACAGTCTGACTGATTTTGTACATAGCATAGGATGCCATATTGGCTTTTGCTTTGGGTAGCAAAACTTGATTCAGCCCCGATCTTAGTTTGAAAGGAAACCTGACCAATAGCAGTGACATCCAGTGACATACTAAGACATCATTTTCTGAGGTCAGAATTACTCTTCCATGGAAACTGATTAAGGAAATAATACCAATCATAGACCACTCAGTTACTTTGTATAAAAATGTAATTGCATTTGAAGAAAGCGCTATTCTTTTTTTAAATTCTTTTTTATTGCGCTTTTATCCATATAAATTTTCTTAAATCAGTCAAATAAATATAAAGGGGAAAATGATGAATACTGAAGTAATCAATGCCTTATGGAAATAACTTCAAGAATCTGGCTGAAGACAAATACCTCGGTATCCTTCAAGCTGACAGTATTAGGCACACTGAAGTCATGAAGGCCAGAAATGAATACAGCAGTGAAAATGAGGAAGATCTTAAAGTTCAAACTCATACTATCAAGGTGATTAACATCCGGGCAATTGCAATATATACGCAGATGGAATGGTGAACTAGATTCATACAGAACAAAAAAACCCTGGAAAATAATGACAATGAATCATTCTCTTTGTCAATGCGGTGATGTTGACAGATTCAGCTTTCCAGGAAAAATAAGTGCACATGGAATGTTGTAAGTACCCTAGACAGATGAAGAAGAGTAAAGGGCATTGGAAGAATATCTGAAGGACAGTGAAGAAGATGCACTGAAGCTAGTATACCAGGAAGGCTTGCTGAGGCCAAACTGGCCTAAAGGAAAGACTAAGTGAGTAGAAAATAGTCATGGCAAGGCAAACTATTACACAGCCATTATAGAAAAAAAAATAAGCATAGCAGATAACAACACATGACAATGGCTAAGAATAGGGGGGGAAAAAGATGGGGTAATTCTGGCCGCACAAAATGAAACCTTAAGAACAAATGCACACAAAGCCAGAATTGAGTAGACAGCCACAGACAGCAAATGAAGGCTCTGCACAGAAATGGAAGGAACAGTGAACTATCTAGTTTGCTGTTGCAAGAAGACCACAGACTGATTACAAACAGACAGAAAATAAGAAAGACAAAAAAGTTTGGATAGTGGACATGGAGACAATAGAAGAGAAGAGAAAGAACCTGGGGGGGGGGGAACAAAGTACAAAAGCCTGTAAATAGAAGTAGAACGACTGTGGCAAAAGAAAGCAAAGGTAGTACTAATAATAATAGGTGACTTGGATGTAATCCCAAAATAACTGAAGCATCACTTGAACACCATCAGCATTGACAAAGTTACCATTGGCCAGTTGCAAAAGGCAAATTTATGTGGATCAGCTAACATCCTTTGACAGTACCTTTAACACCCTAAAACATCAACACCTGGCCATCCCAGGTCCTTGGGAAGGACTCAATAGGTGGATAAAAATGCCAATTCCAGTATAAACATCTGGCTGACAGTGATTAACTATAATACATTTACTTCATGTCAAACTGTCAATTACTTCATGTTAAACTGTTGAAGAAAAATGTAAAATACATAAAAGTTAGTCATGAAGCATTGATGCAAGTTAAAAATTGGAACTTTTGACTTATACAGAAAACAAAAAGTGAATATCAAAATAATTTAATGAAATGGTAAACAAAATTCTGGCAAGCAAAAGTATTACTTGTAATGTAACTTACATTACATCTACAAAAGATCATGGGGAAAGTAGATAAAGAAAAATCCTGACAATGACTTAGAACTGGAAGATTTAAAAAGAAACTGAAGGCTTTGAATATGTTTGCTCAAAAACAAGTTTTTCAAATTAATGTTGTCAAGGCCAGAATTGAAAAATTGTCAAATGGCTCAAAGTACAAATTGTGTAGTAGGCAATAGATGCAGTAGAACATATATCCAGCTCACATGATCTGTGATCACAGTTATAATAAATGACATAAGATAGTTGCCAAAATTATTTACTGGAACACCTGCAAAAATTATCATGTGCCAGAAATGAAAATTTGGTGGGAAAATATAATTGAAAAAGTACTTGAAAATAGCAGGTTAAAATATTGTGGGATTTCAGAATACAGACTGGTGCATTATCTGGCTCATAACATATCAGATATAACTATGGTTGAAAAGAAGAAACTGAATAACTGATGTAGCAATAGCAGGCAATAATAGAACAAAGGACAAAAAATTGGAGAAGATCACAAAAGATCACATTTTGATCTGAAAATCAAAATGGAAAGTTTATGGCATAAATGGGCTGTGGTAGTTCTAATATGTATTGGCATGCTGGGTGGCGTACCAAGAAATCTTGGATGGTACTTAGAGAATTTACGCATTGACATTTAAGCATTCAATCTGTCAGTTACAAAACATCATACTATTTGGATCTTGCCAATATATTACAACATCCTAAGTTCTTGTGAAGAATTTGATTCATATAAAGATCAACACAAGCTAAAAAAAATGGTTGCTTTTATTTCATGCTGTTATGTAGAAAATAATAATAAAATGTATATTCCACTTGACTCCCAACAGCTCAGCACCAATTTAGGAAGATAAATTTTGGGAAAGAAATATGTAATTCTATTGAAAAGTAAGCGTGAAGGCTGTAGAATGATTTAATTCATTTTGATAACATGATTTGGGAAAATGTTTAATGGGAAATTATGTTTGAATACAAATGCAAAAATATTCTCTCTTTTTTCCCCAGTCGCCCATATACCAACAAAGTTATCACTTTATGGTACCGTCCCCCTGAACTTCTGCTAGGAGAGGAACGATACACACCTGCCATTGATGTTTGGAGCTGTGGGTGAGGCATTTTTTGCTAATGAACTTTATGCAGCAAAGTAATTTGGAAAAAGGTACAGATCATGTGGTATAATGTTTTAAGGGTACATTTGAACCAGAGACCAGGATACATTACACCATAGCAGCAATTGTTTTATTGACAGTGCTGGAGATTATCTCTAGATTGTCCTAAAAAGGAGTGCAGTCCCTGTTTATTCTTATGCACATAAAATGTGACTGGATACAACAGCAGTACCATGTTTCCCTGAAGATAAGACCTATCCAGAAAATAAGCCCTAGTATGATTTTTACATGTGCACTTAATATAAGCGCTACCCCAAAAATAAGCCCTAGTTAAGACTCCGCCTATTCTGTCCCACCGTCTGGTTGCACAAGGTGGGACAAGGCAAGGTGGTGAGGAGGTGGAGCTGCCCCATGCCCCCGCACCTGTTTACCTCAGGGCCTCCCATGTCCTGAATCTTGCCTTGCCTCACAGCAGTGGCACCAACAGCCCTGTCCAGTAGGAGCCCATGTGGTGCAATGTGCCAGTGCTGCCACCATGAGGCAAGGCAGGTGGGGAGCTGTCCCACGCACCCTGCAACTGCTTACCTCGGCCCCGTAGCCAGGCATCCCACACGCCACCACCTGCCTCGCCTCTTAGAATTCCAGGGCTTAGAAATACAGAGGCAGAGGGGCAGATGGGGCAAAGCTGGTTCACCAGATTTATTTTTTAAAAAAAAGATGAGCGGTGATTCCCTTTCTTCTGCACAGGAACTCGCAGAGCTGTGGCCCGGGCCGAGTATGGTGCCCCAGCCCTTTGTTTACAAACCACACCTCAGGCAGCCTCCTGAAGTGGCCCCTGCTTCTTCCCATTTATAGCTGGCGGTCGGCTGGGTTTTCTTTTGTCCTTCAGGCCAGAGAGAGCGGCATCTCAGGCCGTGGCCATTCCTTGGCAGGTTCCATTCGCCCTGCCTGCTTGTCCACCCCCTCAACACATCCACATCTGTCCTGCAAAGCAGCCTCGAAGTCACCCTACAAATTTTGTTTGTAGGGTGAAAGGACTGAATCCGAGTTTCGCTCTTAAGCTAACATCTCCCATGCCCAGTAGATCTTGATCTCTTGGGAAGATGTCACACTGTCAGCCCCCTTCATCTCCCCCCGCCCCAAAAGTTAGCATGCATTTGCCTACCTCGGTGACAATGGCTGAGATTGATATTGCGGCTGGGCTCCAGGTTCCCGGAGGAGAAGTAGAGCAGGGCCTTGAGGCAATAGCAGCTGCACTTGCTGCCCACTCTGCTTCTTCAGAGGGATGTTAGCCTTGAGCCACACCATATTCAAGTTGGCATTAGTGGGTATCCGGCACCAGTGCTCGGGATTGATGCTGGTGCTGAGCAGAAAGAAGATGAGGCTCTGGAAGGGTCCATTCACCTAGGAAGGTGATGGCTTCATCATAGTTGAACATAACTGGTGACAGGCAGGCAGGGTGAATGCAGAATGGGGAAAGCAAGAGGAAGGAGGCTGGCAGCATCACAGCCTCCCAAGTGATCAAGATCAACTGGGCATGGGAGATGTTAGTTAGGAGCGAAACTCCTGCTGGGAACTAATAGGTAGTGAATTTTCCTCAGCCAGTGTGAACAGGGATTGTTTCTGCTTGGCTTAATCCTTGAAAGACTTTCTATCTGGAGTTCTCAAGTAAACTGAGACTGTTCTTACCCTATGTCAGAAGGGGAAAAGACTTTTCTTTATGATTACTACTTTTTGATTTTGTCTACCCAACGTGAACCCTGTTTTCTCGTGAGTAAGCGGTTTCTCATTACTTGTGACGGCTGGGTCAGAACACTAGCACATGCAGCAGTTCCTGCTGGCCTGGGCGAAGGAAGGCCAGAAGAAAACCCAGCCGGCTGCCGGCTATAAGTGGGAAGAAGCAGGGGCCGCTTCAGAAGGCTGACTGTGGGTGTGGTTTGTATACAAAGGGCTGGAGTGCCACACTTGGCCTGCAGAAAACCCCGGACCGCAGTTCTGCAAGATCCTATGTGGAAGAAAGGGAATCACTACCTACCTTTTTTTTAAAAAAATAAATGTGGTGAACCAGCTCTGCCCCATCTGCCCCTCTGCCTCTGTACCATTTAGGCCTGGATTTCTAAGAGGCAAGGCAGGTGGTGAGGCATGGGGCTGAGGGGCCCCTGAGGTAAGTGGGTGCAGGGTGCCTGGGGCAGCTCCCCCCCACTTGCCTCACCTTGTGGCGATGGTGCAGCGCACCACGCGGCCCCTGCCACAAGTGTCTATGAGCTGCCACAGAAATGGGCCAGCGGCGGCAACGCACGCGCCTGCTGGACAGGGCTGTTGGTGCTGCCACTGCAAGGCAGTGTTGGGATGTGGGAGGTCTGACTGGGGGGGTCCTGAGCTAAGCGGGTGTGGGGTGCCTGGGGCAGCTCCACCCCCTCCCTCACCTGCCTCGCCTCGTGATTGTGGCACTGGTGCGGCACACCACATGGCCTCTGCCATGAGCAGCTACAAGCAGTTGCAGAAGTGGGCTGGTTGTGGCCACGCGGGCTCCTGCTTGACGGGGCTGTCGGTGCCATCACCACGAGGCAAGGCAGGTGTTAGGAAAAAAATAAGACATTCCCCGAAAATAAGACCTAATGCATCTTCTGGAGGGAAAAAAAATATAAGACCAGGTCTTATTTTCAAGGAAACATGGTATGTGCCTAATGGAGTTAATGAGGCCATTATAGTGTACTTACAATGTAGTGAAACAGGACTACAAATAAAGTAGGGTTTTCAAAGATTTCAAAATATTTTCTGAATATAGTTTTTTTAGGAGTTGCTTCTGTTTTTCTCGAACTTTTGGCTTTCTAAGTATTTTAAGCTGAGAGTAGTTTTTCTGGGAAAGTGTTATTAAGGGTAATTGCATAATTTGATACCATAAAGCTGAGCAGTGTTTCGTTTCCCTGGGGAAATGTATTTGGGTTAGGGACTTTTAGTTTGGACCCATAGTTTCCTAGAATTATTTGCTCTGTTTTTGTAGATGTATCCTGGGTGAACTTTTTACTAAAAAGCCAATATTTCAAGCAAATCAGGAACTTGCTCAGCTGGAACTGATAAGGTCAGTATATCCTAGGTCTCTGAAAAATGTACTTTTCAGCAAATAGTCTCCAATTATTTCTCCCAATCCAGTTAAAATATATTACTTGCCATATTTTACAAAAAATAAAAAGAACTTTACACAAACAAATGATTATTTAAAAAGTGAGGAACTGGAGTTGCAACACACTGTGATTATAGTTTTCAACTCAGAAAATTTAATGGTGCTTTTAAAGTACTTACAATTATTGTCTTCTTTCTATCACAGTACTTTTTAATGAAGAGAAAATATTGTAGCCAACAATCTATAGTTTTATTAGGCAAACAGAAATTCTTTACTGGTGGGATATTCTTACAATTTAATGTTAATTTGGTCTTTTTAAGTATCTCTAATTGTGTAGATTTGAGTGGCATTGTTTTAATTAAATCTATGTTTGATTCAATAATCTTTGTGGTACTTTTCATTTTATGACATATATTGTTTTTACATAGCCGCATATGTGGAAGTCCTTGTCCTGCAGTATGGCCTGATGTTATAAAATTGGCGTATTTCAATACCATGAAACCAAAGAAGCAGTATCGCCGAAGACTGAGGGAAGAGTTTGCTTTGTAAGAATTTAACTATTTAAATATAATATGTTTTCTCTCCTATTTTTGAATTTATTCTGTTCTTTATGATCTTTGTATTCTGTAGTATAAACATTAAAAGGCATTCCTGCCTTTATTAACAGCCCTATAAAGTAGACTAGATCAGGAAACCACAGAAAGAATGGAACTAACTTTTATTGAGATAGGCTATAGTAATACAATCTTGCACTTCTGCTTGTATTTTACGTTCTCTTTCATCCAGTCTGAGCCTTTTCCCAAGCCTTCTCAGAGATTAAGAAATGCTTTTGCCTTTATTTTATGTGGGCTGTGAATATTTACTTTAAACCATTTTCTTAGGTCTCTACACATATTTTTGTATGATTCAAAAACAATTTTGAAAAATGGTCTTTATTTAGTTAAGTTGATATTCTCTGAGACAAAAACTATTTTCTCTGTGTTATGTATGCTTCCCAGAGTAACTTGTGAGATGCGTAGCCATATCAGTTTGATAAATAAGGATATTTTAATGAATGTAACAGGAAAATAATCTTTGAAATCAGCCGTTTAGTTGTCTGTATTTACTTATCTACATAATTCCACCATTTGTTACACACTTCTGTCAATGATGGATGAGCATCTTAAAGCCACTGCAAAATAACTCCATATCCTATCTCTCCAGTCTCTAGTCCTTTCTGCCTCTTTGAGTAAAAAAAGATGCTAATAAAAATATTCCTTCAATATTGAGAAAATATGGCATTTGCAATTGCTTCTTGGGTGGCTCGTGAGATTGGAGTAAACTTATCGTAACAAAATTTCCTTCTTTTACTTCTGAACTCTTTAATTGATGTTTTGGGTTTTGGTGACAGATTCCAAGAAATCTATGTGATCATTTAAATGTAAATATCAATTTACATCCCCCAAAATGGTAACCATGAATTTTCTGGTCCAAATTTGGGTTTTGAATTTATTCCTCATGAGTGAAGTTCTATATCAGTGGTGGTGAACCTATGGCACGCATGCCAGAGGCGGCACTTGGAGCCCTCTCTGTGGGCACACGTGTCATTGCCCCAGCCTTGCCTTCCCCGTGACCCCCTCCTCACCAGCAGCCCCCCTGGAGGAGAGTTGCCCCCGAGCGTGGCCCATGCGGAGCAGCTCAGCCAAGGACACGGCAGCCAGGCAGCATAGACAAGACTCTGCCCTCATGCCCCATCGCGCACAGTTGATGCTGCGGGGCGCGGACAGAGGGCGTGGCCGCCATGGCGCTGCTGGGCTGTCTGGGCGATCTGCGGCAGGCCCTGGAGGCGGTGAGTGGCCTTGCGGGCAGGCGGGGTGGGGGCGGGCAGGGGGTGGAGCGGGGTGGGGCCAGTTTTTGGGCACTCGGTCTGTAAAAGGTTCGCCATCACTGTTCTATTTGATACTGCTTTTACTAACAATGTGTTTCTGGATCATAATTATGAACCCATATTTTATCTGCTGTTACAGTGTTGTAAAGAATTTGAAATTCCTGATATTTATTCTTATAGAATGGTAATAGTTGCTGACAAATCTCTGTTCTTATGGCATTCATCTCTGCCATTAAGCATGAAAAGAACCTATCTTGCATAAACTTTTTTTAAAAAAATGTTTTATTGATTGTTTACAATAACAATCCTTAGTGCCTGGTGTACAGCGTGTTGTCTTGGTTCATAATTTTTTTTAAAAAAAATACACAATCAATTTTTATACTTCCATAATTAGTATATTAATTAATAATATATTTCTTTGATCTTCTCTTCTCCCAATAGTATTCTCCTTCTTCAACCTTAAACAAATATATTTTTTAATATTTTCAATGCATAAATGATTAAATATGAACATTTTCTTCCATGTTTGTGCCAACAATAATAGCGTCCATATGTGACATTTTTTTTCTTATCAATTTGTGTTATTTTTATAAAAATCATCTTATTGATTCACCATATATCCTATTTTCATAAATCTTGTTTAAACTTAATTTCTCCTTAATATTCAAACAATTCTTATCAGTCATAATTTTCTCAGTATTTAACATCTAAATATCCAAATTTTCCATCTATCTTATGACATGTACCTATAACATATTTTCTGATCGGTTTATATTTCACTTATATTTGTATAAGTTAATTTGTAAAATCACTATATATCTTTTTTTTTCAACGTTCTTATTTAAGCTTAATTTTTCCTCAATATTTCAATCATTCCTTAATCCTAATTCTCTTCAAACTTAATTTATCTTTGAAATTCAAACTTTTCATTCACATACATCATCCGAATATTTTTACATTTTATATATTATCAAAAGTACTATGCTACTTATATATCTTATCCCTCTTATTGTAAGGCCCCTTTATAGCCAAAGTTTTCTGTTCGTTTAACCATATTCAAACAAGTGTTTTCTTGTGTAATACTCCATCTGGTAGGGTGACTCAAATCTCTTGAATCTATCTCTGGCCTTCTTCTTTTGCCAAATAGCTTTCCAAATTGATATTTTTGGCTTGCCAGGAAGTCCTTGTATTTTTGTAAGTGTTGTTGCGAGTGGAGAAGACAAAGTATGTAAAATATATGCTTTTTGTCTCCCAAACAATGATTCTCCTGGCAGTGTCCATTTTGTTAAGTCTTCTTTCTTATCCTCAGGTTTATTTTAACGTTCTAATGAATAAGCTATCTTTTCCATTTTTGTTGTTATGTCCAAGTCTTGTAAGTTTTTTCCTGTTTGTATTAAATTATAATTATCTTCATTTGTAGCTTTGCTGATTAAGTCATTTTTTTCTAGTTTATGTTCTGTTATCTGATTTGTTTGTTCATTCTTTACCATCATTTTCTGGGCATTTTTTGATTGTGAGTTTAGATTAGAAATGCGCTCATTTATGTCAACAAAGTTGTGTTTAATTTCCTCATGGTTTAAGGCTATTGTCATTTGTATCTGTCATAACATTACATAAATTTCCTCTTGGAGAGCATTTGTCTTGTCTTGAAATGTTGCTTCTGGAGGTCTTTGATATTCCAGGCTGAGTCCTTCAGAAGTAGGTATTAAATGTGGTTTTCTGTCATTTTTTGATAAGTATGTCATATCCATGTTGTCTCCCCCCTTCAAATAATCCGTCATCAGTACCATAGTCTCTGTAATTCGCCTTGTCAAACCAGCCAAAACTCAAAATCCAAACAATCCAGTTTTGTATAGTTCTTTATATATAGTTTTTATAATCCACTGTATTTCCAATTGTCAAGGCTTCAGTAAAATCAATGTTTTGTAACAATTCTTTCAGGGGTCAGTGTCAACCAGTCAAAATTTCAGTTCAGTATATTTAGCCACCTTGAATCCTTCCTGTAAATTCCCCCCTAAAAGATTAGTCAAAAATCAAAATTGTTCTTTTTCTGTAAACAGTTCTTGAGTTTAGACAACAATCAGAGTATTTCTTTTCCTTCAGATACTTTCTAATCTTATATCTGGCCCAGTATGTATTCTTCTCTTTGTTCCCAGCAGCTGTCTTCTTAAAGGGAACAGATTTTTCTTTGTTTCTGGGTGTTGTTGTTAATGTGCTATATTCTAATTGTCCATTAGGTGTCAGTAGTTGTTTGTTTTCCAGCTTTTTCAGGCAAGAAATTATTCTTACTGTTTTTTTATAATTTTATCGCAACCCTTTAGAGCATAATCTTAGCAGTTTTTTTTAGTTTCTAGATTTAGCCAGACTGTAGTGTTTTAAATTTGATTTCAATATTTTTCTTTCCCCCTTAAAAGTTAATTCGCTGTTTCCGTCTATGGGGGAGTGGGGGTGTAGTCTCCCCTCACTTTCAGAGGTTTTCTTATTTTGGGGATCTTTCCCAGGGACTTAATTGCAGAGTAGAAGAGAGAAGATTGATACTCTCACCAGTTCCATGCACGCTGTTCAGTGTTGTTCTGGCTCGTGCTCTTGGACTTAGGCTGCAAGTAGCTTGGGCTAGACGCTGATGTGCAGCTAGCCTTTCTCTTGTTGGGTCAGAGGGCTTTCCCTGGATCGAACGGAATGACCGCTGTCATTCCGTGATCAACGGAGCACCCCTCTTTCTTTGCCGCCTCTCCGGGGCAACTTCAGACCCATTTAGGGTCCTCTGGCAGGACAAAATCAGCCATGGGATGTGGAGCTCTTCAGTTCTGCGGCTGTGCGCTATGACACAAAAATCGGAAGTCTATCTTGTATAATCTTCTGATAGTGACAAAATCAATAACATGACCCATGTATTCCTGTGAAATGTCATGTTTGAGAGCAATTCCCCTTTGAGTGTCTGCTGATTGTTCATCGGTTCATCTACATTTCTCATATGAAATTCATTAATTGTTCAGTTCAGGTTGTGCTGTTGATTAAGCAAATCACTTTTGCTCAGTATACCATTTTTACTTTTTTTTATCCATAGTTACAGTATCTATGGCATTGTATAGATAACTTGTATGGATTATATAGTATAGTATTAAAACTGAACATATTAGTTTATGTGAAAAAGATGTCAGTTATCTGAGTTCTCATCATACATTTTTTTGTGTTAATGAAACAATATAACTTTCTTTAAATGCTAAGTCTGAAAGAGAGGACAAATTTTAATGTCTTTGAATAAACATTACTTTGTTTTTTTGACTTCCATTTATTTATTTTTTTACAGTATTCCTGCAGCTGCACTAGATCTCTTTGATTACATGCTTGCTCTTGATCCCAGCAAACGCTGCACAGCAGAACAGGCACTTCAGTGTGAATTTCTGAGAGATGTGGACCCTTCAAAGATGCCTCCACCAGAGTAAGTGTTTCTTAGTTGAGTTTATTTTCTACAAAATAAAATTCATTTCTACTAGCAGAAGTCAGATGCTACATATATAATCATTTTTGTCACACATTGGATGAGCATACTGTTGAAATTGCATTTATTAATTTCCTAAAGATTTTACAGTACCAACAACCATAGAACTGAGCCTAGTGAAGGAGTAAGCATCTCAGTGGGTTCACTTCAACATATCACTTGAACTTAGCAGCAAAAATATATCTGGAAAATATTTCAAACTTTATCTGAAAAAGTCTACAACCCAGCAGTGGTCTCTAATATGCATTCTCTACTCAAGGCACACCTTTGTATTTGTCAGCCTTCTTAAAAAACATAATTCACACAACAATTCTGAATTCTTAATGTCTCAGTAACAAAGGATTTAAAAACAGCAATAAGTTTAGCTAACTGACAAGTAGCAGTCTTTTTGTTTTTGCCCACATATTTTATTTAACTGAAAATGATGGAATCAAGATCAGCTCCACTTGTCTCCAAATTTGGTTTTGGAGTGGTGGAATTAGTTTCCTTTGTCTTATACAACTAGACTAGTTTTATGAGTCCCACTTATAGTTAAGCACTTGATTTTCTCTGATCTTCAAGGATGTGCTCAAGTTTCTCCCATTTGTTTTGAGCAACTTAGTGACATTGATTGAGTGCCTATTTTGCATGGTTGAAAAAAAAGATGAGATTTTATGATGAGATAATACGCACACATCATTTAGTGGAATTAGTGGAATTCCTTTTCCTAATTTTCTGAAAGTAATAGGTAGTAGGTAGAAAAGTGTCAGACAGTGATCAGGTGCCAGGATAATTAGTTCTTTTTGATCCAGAGACAATGAACACTTCAGTAAGTAAGGGTTTTTAAAGCCTTATTATTAGCTAAAAGCATGCTGAGTTAAAAGCATAACCTAAAAGGCCTACATATTAAGTCTTTTATAGCTCCTTAATAATAACAGCAGAGGTAACCCCAGGATGTCAATTTTGATAGTACTTAGTACTAAGTCCTGTGTATAAGCTGCAACAAACAACAACAACCTTACAGTTTTGACCAAATCCTGGTTTGATCTGTCAGATGGCTGATAGGTTGACATGCCTCTCTTGTTTCCAGATAATGGCTTCTTGAGCTCTCTTTCATAGTTGGCTTTTTAAAATTTTGATACTCAAGGTCCTTGTGGTAACTATTCTGTGCTGAATAACTGTAATTTCTTTTCTTTATAGTCTTCCTTTATGGCAAGATTGCCATGAACTGTGGAGTAAGAAACGTAGAAGGCAAAAGCAAATGGGCATGACTGATGATGCAGCTAAAGTTCCAAGAAAGGATTTATCTTTGGGGATGGATGATAGCAGAGCCAACACACCCCAGGGTTTGCAGACCTCTTCACAAATGAAGATGCAGAGCAACTCTAATATAGCCCTTGGTATTTTTTTCATTTTTTAAATCAAATATAAGGTAGTTCTCATTTAATGACTGCTTGCTTAGTGACTATTTGAAGTTACAATGGATCTGCCAAAAGATACTTATGACAGAGTTCTGACGTTCTGTTGGCAGCATCCCACTGCAGTTACATGATCACATTTTGAATGCTTGGTAACTGATTTCGCTTTTGCAGCATTTCGTGGTCACATGACACAATCTGTGACAGTTTTTGCCATTTTTGCCGGAAGCTGGCCTTTTCAGTCAGTTTCTGGGGGAAAAAAAACTCATAGAATTCATTGACTCACTTAACAACAACTACAAAAAATGTTCTAAAACTGGTCGATCACATGAATGCATCAACTTATGACCGTTATATGTTATGATGTAAATTCCAGGCTCCCTTATGGTCATAAATAGAAAACTATCTGTAACTTCAAGTTGGACATTATTTTTTTCTAGGAGAGGCCATTTAGACCAAAAGAAGCACTGGAAAAGAAATAAATTAGATAAAGTACAAAAGGATCCAAATATCTGGCTTTCAAAACTTAGAAGTTAGCCTGAAGATTAATTAGTACATACTATAAAATATTTGTCTGATTTATGTGATACTTTTTACAATAGGAATCCTATTTTATAATAAATGCCCTAGCTGGACTTTTTTTTTTTTTCCTGTCAATTATTTCTCCACTTTATTTTATTTCTATCCTAGATTTCATTTCCCAGTGCAATTAACTATTATTTCCTCTTGCTATTTTATAGTAAAAGGAAGGAGAGTATGTGATGAGATAGATTGCTTGATAAATGGAAATTAATGTTTAAATAGGTAGCTTTATTTTAGAGGCAAGTAATATTAAGCACAAGTTATTATTTCAATTAATGTACATTTATTTAAGCTTGCTTGCTCCTTCTCTTTGCATAATATTAGCAGTACTCCCTTCTTTCCGTAGCCTTTCTATTGCTTTCCTTCCCTTTATGTTTTTTTGGCTGGTATTGTTGATATTGCATTTTCCCCATTATCTCCCATCTCAGAATATTTGTGCCTGGAATATATTTTCCAGCTAAAATCCAAATCTAGCTGTTCTTTGCATAGGTTTACCCACCTGTAAATAACATATTTTGACTTGAAATTAGAGAAATCCTTTTATTTTTTTCCTCAATAGTTGTGATGTCCATAACATTTCAGATTCAAAATACATTCAAAATAACCATTTAATAATTTAAAAAATATCCCAGCAGTGATTCTGCCTTGGAATAGCTATTTCAATTTTTATATCATTTTTATTAGTTTATCATAATATAAAACACAAAGGAAAATGAAAATAATGAGAAACTAGGAGAGTTAAAAAGGAAGAGGAGAAAGTGTAGGGGAAAAGGGGAAAAAAAAGAAAGAGAAGCATTTTTTTTAGCACAATAGAAAATAGTAACATTAAAGCCTCAACTTGTTACTTTTACACAGTAATATATATTAGCCACTTCTATAATAACAAACCTATCTAATCAATAAAATCCTAAATTAAAGTTTCATTTTTTCCATCTCAAACACACAATCCAGAAGCAGTTTCTAAATAGAAACAAAGTTAGATTGTTCTTTTCTTTGATTACAACAATCAGTTTAGCCATCTCTGCTTTTTTCCTCTTATGGGAAGTAATAAGTAATTCTATTTACATTTATTAATCTTTGTAGATTATCATCATTTATAGTAACAAAATTCACTATACTCTTTCAAATTCTTTAACCTTAATGGGAAAACTTATTTCTCCAGCACTGAGATGGAGACTCCACCATTGGGTAGTAGACTGTATTCCTGCCCAATCAGATCAAGTCAGCCAAAGTTGCCACGCCCGTCCTGGACCGTTGGTCTCCAGTCTTTGACTTGATCTTGCCCAGGACAGACGTTGCAAGTTTGGCTCTAGGCAGGTACAGTCATTGGTGGATTTCCATTCCCTTTCCC